GTGGGAATTGAACTTGTACTCAACCGCTTGGGGGTGCGACAACTTCACCACTTCACTAAGTCGCCACACCCTACTAATATTATCATTATCTTTAAAGAACTTATTAATATAGTAAATATATAATTTTCAATTGGTAAAAGTAAATTAATGTAAATCATAATGCGTATAAATAGTTAATAAGAATCTTTAATTTAAATTCAGATTCACTTATATGAATATTTGCATCACTAGCATTCGTATTACTAACTCTTTGAAGTTTCTATACTAACAGACTAATCAACTTCTTATTAATATAATGAGAAAAATCCTAAAAGTAGTAACATTGGTTAATATTAACCTTAAATAATAATTAAATAAATTGATAAAGTTTGCTAACAAAATAACATTTCAAGGCTATGAAAATAGCGGTCAGATATATTATCTTGTTGGTAAAAATCTATATTATCTTCTTAAGTTTGTTTGCAATTAAAATAATAATGTCTTGCAATACTACACCTGTTATAGCATCCAAGTCATTTAAGTTTGTTTGATCCCAAATGTACATTTTGTAATGAATAAAAATATGTATAAAAAAAAAAAAAAAAAAAAAAAAAAAAGAAGTGAGAAAACTTCAAAAAGTAAACTATAAGACAAATGATTTTACATAAATAACTTTACGTGCATTTCAGCCCAATGTAATGTTGATTCTTGGATAATGTACTATTATTGGAATACGTCCTTATCCAGGCCTATCTTAAATTCGAATAGAATTCTGAAATTATTGCTTTATCAAGATGTGTAAGTTACATAAAGTGAAGATAAAATTATCTATCATTTTGCTAACCATGATTACAATAAAAATTTTGACCGCTAAATTTTATAGTATTTTATTCGTGTTAGAATTAAAATATTGCAGTTAACAGATAAAGTAGCGTTTACATAATTTGGAGTTTCTATGCATCTCATTTTTGATTTAAGTCTTAATTCTAACCTATGAACTATTGTTCTTCTACTAATTTCAATGTTAAATTGTCAAGTTGATAATTTCTAGTTCTTCATAGTCATTTTCTTTATCAGAATCATCCTGATTAACTAAACTATTTCTAATACCACAAGCCTTAAAAAATTCAATAATAACCTCGTTAGAGATTCCTTCCCAAGAACATTTAACCCACCAACATACATCACTAAAACTTGCATAGCGAAGATTTCCTTTAGCAGTTGTACTGGTACCACCACGAAATATTCAGAGATGCCATTCTTTACGAAGGTTATCCTTAAATAGTTTATTGATAGTGATGTCTAATGGTTGGCACACGCTGGTTAAGCCAGCTGGAATTACTGCCAAATCAATCCTGTTATCTTGAAACTTTTCTTTAACTGATTTTTCCAGATGTCCTGTAAAAGAATCATAGACCATCATCATTGGAGCCCCAGATCTATTAACCTTTATATCCTTAAAATAATCAACATATTCATTCATTAAATCAGTATCTATCCATCCATTGTCTTGAAACCAAACAATTATACCGGAAGAAATTAGTCTTTTTTCTTTACTTGATAATCATTTTTCTTTAAATATACAAATCGGTGGAAACTTGAATCCATCTAAAATAATAAATTTGTTAAAAAAAAAAAAAAAAA